TGTGGTTGCTGGGAATTGAACTCAGAACCTTTGGAAGAGCAGGCAATGCTCTTAACCACTGAGCCATCTCTCCAGCCTCTCAGTAGCTTTTGGTTCCTGTTCTGGAACTAGCTCTTGTAGACCAGGCTGGCCTCGAACTCACAGAGATCCGCCTGTCTCTGCCTCCCAAGTGCTGGGATTAAAGGCATGAGCCACCATCATCTTTAAAGTTGTTTTTTAAGATGGGGGTCTCAGGCTGGTTTCTAACTCACAAAGTAGAAGAAAATGACCTTGAACTTCTGACTTCTGATCCTCCCTCTGCCACTGTTGGACTCTAGCATCCAAACACCGAGGAGGAGTCGCCCCCAGAGACCACCTTACACACCACAGCTGATGCAAAAGCATGAGGATTTTATTAATTCTGTCATGACAAGGTCCCTCAGCATTCGGGAAGCCGAGAGACCTCGAATAGCTGGCACAGCCTACTTTTAAAGGAGAAGGCCACAGAAGCAAGGGGGGTTGTTCTTTGACTATTATGATTGGCTTATTTGAAAGGGTTCTTACCAATAATTGGCTGGAGAGCTGTTGCCAGATAAGATGAAGTAAGAGGTCATTTTGACCCCATTTCCCAGGGGACTGAATCAAAACATACGTATATGGGTAATCGTTCAGGAACTGAGTACGTGCATGTGTAGCTGTTAGGTCCTTGGTTCCCAGGGGAGGAGGGGAAGCACTATGGCACGGAGGCTGAGAGGATTCAGAATTGTTAGAAATGGCTTCAGAATTGTCTTAAAGTCTTACACCACCTCCCAAATGCTGAAATTAGGTTTGTACCACCATGCCTGGTTTATGAGGTGTTAAGGATTGAACCTAGGGTTTTGTGAGCACTAGGCAAGCACTCTGCCAAACAAACTAGACCCCAGTCCCTACATTGGTTTGGTTGGTTGGTTGGTTGGTTGGTTGGTTGGTTGTTTAGTGAGTTGCTTTGGTTTAATTTTGGTTTGAGACAATCTCACTCTGTAGCACTGACAGGCCTTGAACTTGAAGCAATCCTCTGCCTCTGCTGAGATTGAAGGCAAGGGGCACCATGCTTAGCTTTATTGTAAATATATGTACTGACAGACAAGGATTAGAACTGGGGATGTGGTTGATAGTCAATGAATAATTATCAAATAAATGGGTTCTTTTCAAGGCAGAGTTTCTTTGCATAGCTGTAATTGTCCTAGAACTCTCTCTCTCTGTAGACCAGGCTGGCCTCAAATTCACAGAAATCCTCCTGCTTCTGCCTCCAGAGTGCTGGGATTAAAGGTGTGAGCCACTACACTGGGCATACATGTGTTTTTGTTCCCTTACTAAAAGCAAGGGTAGACTGAAGCCACGCCAGTGCCAGTTCTGAAAATAGATGTATCAGTTAGCTCTGCTGCACAACAAATAGTTAGAAATCTTAGCCAGGCTATGGTAGCCTGCTCCTTTAAACCCAACACTCAGGAAGCACAGGCAGGCAGATCTCTATGAGTTCAAGGCCAGCTTGGTCTAACGTAGTGGGTTCCAGGACAGCTAGGGCTGTTACACAGAGAAACCCTGTCTCGACTCCCTCCCCACAAAAATCTTAATGACATCCAATGTAAAAAACGCAATGTCCGCTCTACGGTACGTGAGCCAGGAACCAGGCTGGAGACTTAAAAACACATAAAGATACGTGCACACTGACAGAGACACAGGGACACAGGTCATCCTTGATACAAGAATGCCAAGAATGTCCACTTTATTGTCCTCAGGGGTAGCTTATATAGGGCTCTGGCCACGCCCCAGCTCTCAGGATCTTTCAGCTGAGGACTCATCAGAATCCACGCGCCTGCCATCAGGATGCTCAGAGCAGCTGCAGGCAAGGTCTCATGCTCAGATCAGCTGCAGGCTGCTCAGAGTGGAGGAAAACAAGTTGTTTACAAGAAATTCAGGGTCTGGTGGTTCACAGTCCCCCAACAATCCAGTAAGTACTTACTGCTGGCTGGACAGGACTCTCAGAGGCCTGAGTCTGAGCTGCTGTGAGCCAGGGTTGGCAGATGTCACCTCCTCTGGGCAGCCTCCAGTGGGATAATTGGGATGGCTTTGCACCATCTCAAAGTCTTTTGATCCAGCAGAATGGTAGCTTAGAGTAAAAGTGTAGGGGCAGGTGGGGATGTGATTCAGCTGTAGAGTGTTTATTTACCTCATATGCAAGAAGCCTTAAATTCAGTCCCTCACACCGCCTAAACCAGGCCTGGTAAAACAAACCCGAATCCTAGCACTCTAGAAAGAGGATCAGAAGTTCAAGGTTATCCTTGGCTTCTTAGTGAGTTCCAGGCCAGCCTGAGCTTCATGACACCCTTGTCTCCAAGGAAAAACAGAAAAGTGAGCTGAAACGCGCTGTTAAAGCAAACCGGAACATCTGCCTTCCTCTGTGGCTCTTTGTTTATTCATTATTTATGTTATGTGCACATGTAACGTGTGTGGGTACACGCCTGTCACAGTATGCACGTGGAGGTCAAAGGGCAGCCCACGGGGCTTGCTTCTCTACCATGAGGGTCCCAAGGATTGAACTCAGATCATCATGTTTGGCAGCAGCCACTGCTATCCACTGAGCCATCTCCCCAGTCCCAGGAGAGGTCACATTTAATGCTAAGAATGCAACACACGAGAGTGTTTGGTAGCAGATCCTGCTCCTAGGGAAGCATGCATGGGGGTCTAGAGAATGCTGGAGGTCCTGCATGTCACCAGCCAGCTGTCGCTTGTCTACAGCAGAGCTCGGGTCTGCAGGTCTCTCGGGTCTGCAGGTCTGGGCGCCTGCCTCCAGACAGCAGACGGGTCAGGACTCTCACCCACCAGGCCTGTGGCTTAGAGGTGGGGATTTACCACACTGTTCTCCACTGGTACCTGACGTGGGGCTGTCAGGTCATCCTCAAGACAGGGCTCTTAATGGCATCAGCTGTGGTTCAGCTAAGACCGCCCCCATGGTGTCTCTGGCCGGGGGACACTGTCAGGCAGACCCTCAGGTGCAAGTGTCGAGTGTGTTCCTCACCTGTGGCCATCATTCTCCTTTGGCAGAGTCCAGCTCTCAGAGCAAGAATCAAAACACAAGCCAGGCGGTGGTGGCGCACACCTTTAATCCCAGCACTCGGGAGGCAGAGTCAGGCGGATCTCTGTGAGTTCGAGGCCAGCCTGGACTAGAAGAGCTAGTTCCAGGACAGGAACCAAAAGCCACGGAGAAACCCTGTCTCGAAAAATCCAAAAAAAAAAAAAAAAATCAAAACACAAAACTCAGAACAACTCATATATCACTTTCAAAACATGCCAAGTGTTTTGTGTGTGTGGTTTTTGTCTTGTTTTTGTTGTTGTTTTCTATTGTTTGTTTGTTTTGAGAAGGATTCTCACAACGGCTCTCTAGCTGGCTTAGAATTTGGCTTAGAATTAGCCCAAACTGGCCTTGAATTCTTAGAAATCTGTCTGCCCCTGCTTGCACCACCACAGACCAGGGCCTGTTTTCAAAGTGCTTATTCCAGGGCTGGAGAGATGGCTCAGCAGTTAAGAGCACTTGCTGCTCTATCAGAGGACTGAAGTTTGGTTCTCAGCCCCAAGTCAGGAGGCTCACAATCATCAGTAACTCTAATCTCCAGGAATTCCAACGCCTCTGTTTTCCTCAGTCACCCACACGCATGTGCACATACTCACATGCAGACACACACACAGCTACATGCAATTAAAACTAATAAAACATCAATCTCTTAGGGCTGGAGAGATGACTCAGCAGTTAAGAGCCCTGGCTGTTAGAGGACCCAGGTTCAATTCCCAGCACCCACATGGTAACTCACAATGGTCTATAACTCCTGCTCCAGGGAATGCAACACCCTCACACAGACACACACAGGCAAGATGCCAATGTGCATAAAATACAAATAAATAAATTATTAATAAATAAATAAGTCTCTTAAAAGTGGCTATTCCTGGGCTGGGGAGTTGGATTCATTCCCCAGCACCACATAAAACTGGATATGATGGCACATGCCTGCAATCTTAGTCCAGGTGGTGGACAGACAGAGGAGGACCAGATGTTCACAGTCTGCCTCTTCATAGGGAATCCGAGGCCAGCTGGGATAATAAGCCAACAAGGCCAGTAAGATAGCTCAGCATGTAAAGCCTCTCACAGCCAAGCCTGATCCCCAGAACTCATCTGGTGCGGGGAGAGAAATGACCCCCGACACTTGTCCTCTGACCGCCACACTGGCACTGTTCCATGTGTCCACACCTGTACATACACACATTCACACATATGAAGTGGGAAGTTCTTCTGCTCAGTGCGGGAGGTGCTGTTCTCTGGTTGGATCCTGGACTGTGTAAGTAGAGGCAGGAGCTAGGACGGATCCATCCCTGTGCTTCCTAATTGTGGATGAGAAGAGAGTAACTGCTTCAAGGCCGTGCTGCGGGTGGAGAGGTGGCTAGTGGTTAAGGGCGTGGCCTGCTCTTCTAGAAGTCCACACATGTATATGTGTGTGTGCACGCATGCACATGCGTGCATGGACACTGATTCAAATATGTTACTGCCTACAAGCTGAGCTGGTTGGACTAATTACTAGTGACCAAGTGACCTCCATTTCTCTCTGTGAAACAGGGTTGATTTTTGTCTACCTGGCAGAGTTCTTGAATGCTTCCATTGGATCTTATATGCCACATGGCAATCAATAATAACTTGTCCACTGATAAGGACAATAGATGAGTTGCTATTTTTGCCATTTGAAACAGCTGTATATTAGTTTTAGCTAATACATAAGCCCTGGCTCCCCCTGAATGTCTTTTCCAAGCCTGTGTTACATGAAAGCAAATTCTTTCAACCTCCCGGGCAGTTTGTGTGGGAATAGCCTGGACTGTAGCTATCAGTTCCGGCTTGGCTTGACACAGGGACAGCCCTGCTGGTTTCCTGTGTGTCCCCCTACTCCTGGGTGCCTGTCGTGGGCAGAAGTGTGCTAACATTTCCATGTCTGCCACAGGTCACCTTGCTGATCGCCTTCATCTGTGTGCGAAGCTCCTCCCCTTGGATCGACTATGGCGCCTACAGCTTCTTTGAAGTCGTCACAATCTGCGACCTGATAATGATTCTCGTCTTTTACCTGGTCCACCTCTTCCGCTTCTACCGTGTGCTTACCTGCATCAGCTGGCCCCTGTCGGTAAGAGGGAGACCTGGCCCCAGTGTCAGCACACAGGGGTTTGGACACGGCTGCTTGGTCCCCGACTCCTCAGTGCTTGGCGGACATCTCTGCTGGCCTCCTGAGGGTCCCTCAAACTCACATCCCAGCCTTAGAAGGCTGTGGCTCCTTTGCCATTTACCCGCTGTGTGTGTGGAGTGTAGAACAAGCCTTGAGGAGAGAGCTAGTAAGGGTGTGCACACTGCCGAGAGAGCTGCACAGTGACACTTGGTGGCAGAGGCTGAGAAGGTAAACCAGAAGGATCTGCTTTGAAGACAGTGTCTCGCTCTGTAGGCCAGGCTGGTCTGAAACTCGCAGAGATCCTCCTGCCTCTGCCTCCTGAGTTAAAAGTATGTGCCTGGAGGCAGGTGTCATGACCTTTCCTGTGGTCTCTGAAGGGAAGCATTGTATCTTTCATGTTGACGTGAAGCTAGATATGAATTTTTATAGTTATCTGTCATCAGACAGAGACCCTATTCTGTTGAGTGTTTTTTGTTTTTAGGTTTTTTTTTGAGAGCATTTATTACTGTCGTAGTTCCTTCTGTTCTGTTTCATTTTGCTTAATGCTGGATTAAACCTAGCACCTTAGGAAAAGGCCTACAAAATGATCTCGGGAACTGGGCAGTTCTTGGTCTCTGGCTCTGCTCACCAGAGATTGTGTCTCTTACTTGCCCAGCTTCCTTCTCTCCAGTGTGGGTCTTCCTGGCCCAGGGTCACCTGAGCGACATGCCCTTCTTCTGTCCTAAGTGTTCCAAGGGAGAGAACACAGCTCTCCCATCTCCCTGCCCCGGAGTGAGCTCTCCTGTCTCCCCAGAGCGAGCTCTCCCGTCTCCCTGCCCCGGAGCGAGCTCTCCATTCATTCCTTTCTTTCTTCCGCCCGGCTTCCAGGAGCTTCTGCACTATGTCATCGGCACCCTGCTTCTTCTCATCGCCTCTATCGTGGCAGCCTCCAAGAGCTACAACCAGAGTGGCCTGGTAGCAGGAGCGGTGAGATGTTTCCTACAACCAGTTCAGACTTCAGCTCCTTTCCTCCCAATAGTGGCCAGGGAAGGGGCTGATTTGGGGGCCTTCCTTCTTCAAATTCACACCTACCTCAATCCAGCCAGCTACCCTCTCCAAAGAGCCTGGCATTTGGGCTCGTTTCAGAGGGTCTGGGAAGTAGGCTGAAGGACTGTTGACAAACTTATACAGCTTCAGGAGTAGCGGCCCATTCTTTACACCCTATCTCTAGGTCTGTCTCCCTTACAGCCACTGCTTACATCAGAGCAAAAGGGTTTCAATCCCCATGCCAACTCTGAGCATATGCTCACGGCAGAGTGTTTGGGCATCTCTTTTGCTTCAAGAGGGAAGGGCACTGCAATGAACTAGTGATGTCTGCCATGAGTCTTTTGTCTCTTTTCTTTTGGGTCTCACTGGGTAGTCCAGGCTGGCCTGGAACACGCTGTTTAGCCCAGGCTGACCTGAAACTGACCTAAAATGCATTGCTTAGCTCAGGGTGGCCTTAGACTTACAGAGATCCTCCTCTATCTCCTCCTGAGTACTGGGGTTGTAGGCATGCACCACACTGCTCAGATACCTTAAAAGATATACATATCTTTTAAGATATATATATATCTTATGTAGCCAAAGCTGAACTTAAATTCAATATGTAGCTGAGGATAACATTGAACTTCTGATCCTGCTGCCTCCACCTCCCCCCGTTCTGGGATTATAGGGGTGCTCCACCCATCCCTAGACTGCATGCAGGCGGTCTACCAATTGACCTTCTTCCCAGTCTCCTTTTAGTTTCAGCAGTACTCAGGCCCGGAAGGGGCTCCTTATCCCTTGCAGAGATTAAAATGATCTGCCCAAGCCACGTCCAGCCAGCTAGACTGTACAGAAGTCCAGCCCTGTGGGACATACACAAGCAGACGAATGTGTAGACACATATGGGAGCATGGTTGAAACAGCCATAGATTCTTGTGATCTGATTTGTGATTCCGCCAACTTCATATCTGAGTGGCCTTTAGTCTAGTACCCAGGCAAGAAAATTTTTTGTGTTTGTTTTAAGACTTGGTCTCTTGTAGCCCAGACTGACCTCTAACTTAAGAAGTAGCCAAGGATGACCTTCAACTTGAGATTCTCCTGACTCCAGCCCCGAGTGCTAGGATCTAAGGCATGCAACACCACATCTGGTGTGTGTGGTGCTGAGGATGGAGCCGAGGGCTTGGTGCCTGCTGGCAAGCACTCTACCAACTGAGCTAAGACTTTTAAAATGAGTTTCAGGGTCTTTGCAAGTTTCTTTTTTTTTTTTTTTTTTTTTTTTTT